GGGAAAGGTTCCTATGTTTCCTGACTTTAAGTTGAATCAGGGTGAGTGGGACATCTTATTTTACTCTTTTTAAAACGCTAAATTTGGTGCACACCCCCCTCTGGGGAAACACAACCATGCCATTTCCTTCCCCTCTTCTTGCTCCCCGCTCCGGCCCTGCCCCCTGGCATGCATCTCCTAAACTCTGGGGGAATCCTATGAGGCTTGCAAACAGGGGAGCAATGGGTAGTAGCAGCTCATCCAGGGCTAACTCCCTGAAACTGTCCCCAGGCCCCCTTTTCTCTGACTTCCCAGTGAGCCAAAGCAGCCTCACCTAGCTCTCCTATTGCTTCTCTATGCTAGGCCCTTCCTTCTTTCACTGTCTCCTGCCTTAATAAATGTACCCTCAAAGTCACCTAAAAAAAAAAAAAAAGAAAAAAGAAAGAAAAGCCAAATTAAAATGCATTCCTTTTTGTTTATATGTCATCCCTGATGACCTGTCTTTTGCAGGTCGCTGACCTGGAGAAGAACAGGGTCAGAAACAAAGAGGAGGGGGACTGTTCTATTTCCCTCGGTTTCTGGGTCCGAATGGTTTCCTAGGAAATTGCTCTGGGTATTTGAAAAGGAAGTTTGTGCTATTTCCCATGTCGACATATGAATAATGGCAACAGGACCACACATAACATGTCCAATTCTTTCAACACCCTGAGAGGTGGGAGAAAACTGCCCCCCAGAGAAATTCAATCACTTGCTGAAGATCACACAGTAAGGAAGTGGAAAGGGACCTCAATCAACTGATCTCTCTCAGTAAAAACACACACACACACACACACACACACACACACACACGCTCCCCTCTATGGATGGGTGTTGTCATTTCCTGGTCACTGACTCTGAGGCACAATTAGCTAATGATCCGTGCCACATGCTGAAAAACACTTAATGGCCCCAGGGGGAAGGATGTGCCGAGGTCACCAGTGTTTACCTGCTGGTGAAACTAATAATCTACCAATAATTTGTTCTATTATAGGGTATGGCACTGACCAACTCTAACAGAGCAGGGCTTAAAATCTACAGGCCAAGATGTTCCCTATATTCAGCTCCTGATTCAGCAATGACGGCCTGGCTCTGGTCGACTGCTGAAAATCCACACTCATCGGTTCTCAGGATACCTCTGATGTGTCTTGCCCAGGGAGAGGAGAGTGAGGACCAGTGACTCGGGCACCGTCCAGCTGGGAGAGCTGAGAAGAGCTGGCTGTGGGACTGGGACACGTCCCTGAATGTCATACTTTTCAATGGCAACACTGACTACAGGTCAGACTGAAGCAGAGGAGCCTTGTGCTGTGGCCATTGCTGGGGCTTCACTGGCCAGAGACCAGGTTCTGGCAGAAGCTGGAGGAGGGCTGTGGACAGAGCAGCCACCCACTGACCTTAGCCACTGGGGGTGACTTGGCTCCCTCCTGCCCACCTCCTAGGTGATCTCCCCTTCCCTTCTCACTCTCTCAGTCTGTAAGGTCCAGTTCCTACTCCTCATTCCCTGTGGCCTCCCTTGACCACTCACAACAGGAAAGGTATCTGCTCCCTCTAGATTCCTCCAGTGCTTACTCTGCACATTCGGCCATTAATCACATGACGTTCCCCTGGCTATCTTTGGATCATTCATTCATTCAACAAATATTTGCTAAACAATGCTCTGTGCCAAGCACTGGTAGCTGAGACCCTGCAGTGGGTAGGACAGGCCAAGCTCTGCCTTTAGAAGCTCACAGGCAGAGAGAGAAGAATAATAATATAGTCACAGGTTGGGCAAGTGCTATAAAGGGGGCTAAGAAAGAGACAGTGGGCAGGGGAACCTCATGAAAGGCCTCTTGGAGGAGGTGACATTTAACTCATACTAACATTCTGAATGTCTCATATTTAAACCCTGTGACTACCAACAGGAGCGAGGGCAGGGGTAAGTATAACCCTCATGACAAGGGCTGCTCTTCTACCTCAGCCAGTGCTCCCAGAGATCAATATGCCTGGAGTGCCTGCCTTGGTGAATAAGGGCCCCCACCTGACAAGCCCCTTTAGTGATCTGGAGGTGGCAGCCAGAAAGCCCCAAGCCAGCAGTCCCAGAAGCATCTGACCCCACAGAGTTGTCTCTGGCTCAGCCACAGAGCCCAGACCCTAGGAGGCCGATGACACATTGTGCTGGCTGTGCTTGAACAAACCACAGCTTACAGTCACTTGGACCACTGCTGGGAAGCCTGGAGGTTGGTCTGATCTGTCTGAAGGGCAAATTGACAATATCTGGCCAAATGTACAATGTATATGCCCTCTGCTCCAGCAAATTCCACTCCCTGGAATCTATCCTAAGAAAATACTGGCATGCCTATACAAGAGTATGTGGAGGGATACGCAAGGCAATACTCTTCCATTTATAGCAAAACAATCAGAAGTGACCTCGGTGTCCATCAGGATACATCATCGTACATCTAATCATGGGATAGCGGAACCATTAAAGAATTATCGTGAGATCAGATCACTAAGTGAAAAACAGCAATGCAGGATGTGATTTCTTTATATAAACAGAACAGCTCTTGTGTGTGCGTATGTATGTAAAGCTGTCTGTAAACATACAGGGGACGTCTGCAGACACACACCAGACTGACCCAGTGATCACATCTGCACGGGGGAAGGGATAGGGCCCAGGCAGATCTCCAATATCATTCCATATGCTTCTATGTGGACTTCTTTTCCCTTCCAATAATGAATTCATGTATTGCTTATATGATTAAAAATATATTTTAGCCCTAGCTGGTTTGGCTCAGTGGATAGAGCGTTGGTCTGTGGGCTGAAGGGTCCCAGGTTTGAGTCTAGTCAAGGGCACATGCCTGGGTTGTGGGCTCGATCCTCAGTGAGGGGCGTGCAGGAGGTAGCTGATCAATGATTCTCTCATCATTGATGTTTCTATTTCTCTCTCTCTCTCTCTCCCTTCCTCTCTGAAATCAATAAAAATATACTGGAAAAAAATTTTTTTTTAAGATTTTTTTTTAAAGGTAAAGGCAATGCCAAAAATTCAGTCTGGTTTTTCACTGTAGCTGAGTCATTAACACACTCCACCTACCCAGCCTTTGCTTCCCACCCCCAGCACCATCCTCCTGTCCCAACAATTCAGTTCCTCTTGCCTTTGATGGCACCTGACCACTTGCCGAGATCTCCATGCCTTTTACAGAGACCCTTGCTTCATAAAGGTGCCAAAGGCAACACATAGAAAGCTGTTATCTGGCAGGTCCACAGATGCTTCCTAATCACTGCAATCCCACTGCTGGCCCACCTGACACTCATGACTGGACAACAAACTGGGGGGTATTTCAGTGGCACTCACCGAGCTCCCAGTGTCCCAGGGCAGGCCCAATGCCCTCACATGCCAGTCATCACTTTCAAAGGAAAAGTAAGGGGATTTCAGAAAGACCGAAGAGCCAGAACAGCCCTCCAGATTCCTCCAAGACACTAAGTTGAATCCTGCAGGAACAGGTAGGAGGTGCTGAGCACCCACCATCAATAACTATGTGACAGGCCTGGTCCCACCCAGCACAGGCCCTCCATCACTCTTCCTGCTGTTCACAAATCAAGATAAATAGCTGGGCTGGACATTAATTGCCCAGAAATGTCCATGCAGGAAATACCAGACCCATCATTCATAGCAAAAGCCCAAACTCCCTCCTTCTTTCCCAGCAGCTAACCTTGGAGGCAAGCCTCCCCCTGGGGTTATTCAGTGCCATCAGTCTCCCCAGCCAGCCCTGCTTCCCTTCCAGCCCATTATGCACAGGAAACGCCTGGCTGTGCCAATGGCAAATGAAATGGTAAACGGTACAACGGATCCCACAGGACCTCCATGATGAGGACAGAGCCGCCCTGAGAGGACGCAGCACAACGAACAGGGACCTTTGGAGGTGTTTGCTCGTCCACCTGAAACAGAATCTCTGGAAGAGCTTGTGAAAACTTCAGATTTCTGACCGTTTTCCACATCTACCGAGTCAACATCTGTGGAGGTGGGATTAGAAAATCTGCTTATTTTACTGACAATCAAAGCCATGTAATGGTAACAATCAGATATAACTACAGAATTTAATACAGATTAACAAGCTCCCCCCAGTGATTCTGCTGCTGAAAACCACTGCTCTGCAGCACAAGGGGGAGGCTTGCCCTGGGTCAAGGAGGCTGGGCTCCTTGCTGGTACTTCTCATTTAGTGATCCCATGGCCTCCTCTCCTGCTACTCCCAGCCGTGCAATTTGCACTCCAGACTCACCCAATAGTTAGACCCAACCATTTCTCAGGTCCCTGTCTTTGCTCCTGCTGCCCCCTGCTCCTGCCCTCCCCACCCTCACACGGTGCACTCACTCGGTGCCGTGCAGCCAGGCACTGTTACAGAAAGAGGGTGGTCTCAGAAACCAAGCCTTCCCTACATTTTATTCTTGGCTCTTCAGTGACCTTGGGCAAGAGGCAACCTTCATGAGCCGTGATTCCCATTTGTTGTTGTTGTTTTAATCCGAGGATACTTCTCCACTGATTTTTAAAGAGAGTGGAAGAGAGAGGGCAAGACAGAGAGAAATATCAATGTGAGAGGAACACATCGATTGGTTGCCTCCTGCACATGCCCAGTCCAGGACCCGGGCCAGGAAGGAGCCTACAACCGAGGTATGTGCCCTTGACCAGAATTGAACCCAAGACCCTTCGGTCTGCAGGCTGACGCTCGATCCACTGAGCCAAACCAGCCAGGGCTCAATTCCCATTTATAAACTAGGGCAACACTATGCTTGCTGTGAGAATTCGACAAGGCAATAGCTCAGCATGGAGCCCAATAAATGTTAGCAGGTGCAGTTTTCCCATTGCTCTCATGTCCCAATCTTCTCTATCAGACAATGAGCTACTGTCCCCTCATTCACATCCAAACCCCTAGTTTGCAGAACCCACAGCCTAGGTCAAATGTCTGAGAATACAAAATGAATCCCTGTCCCATGCCACCCTTAACTCTTACCTGCCCAACGTTGAAGGTCAATGTGATGGCATAAAAGAAATTGGAGTTGGCACTTCCTGCATAAATCCAGAGGTGCCACAGGACGGGGAAGAGCAGGGAGCAGACGATAATGATGCAGCCGAGGACAAAAATGTTCCGCAGGACTGAAAAGACAGATGGTCACAATGAGCCAGTGCTGATTCTCTGTGATGGCCCTGCAGGACCGAGAGGCCCAGGGAGAGCCTGCTGCAGCCCAACGCAGAACACCCCTCCCCTTGCTACTCAGAGGCACTGGGTGCCAACTTAAGACCCTTGAGTCATGGTTCCCTGTGCCCAAAGCCAGTGGGATTTGGACTCCATACCTCCTCCTGTACCTCTGGGCAGCAAGACATGCTCTCTACCCCCAATCTCAGAGGGTCCTAGAAACACATCTTCCATTCTCCTTAATTCATGTTTTAAGTCTCCTGTCTTGCTCTTCAAATGTCCCTCACTCTTCCGTAGGTGATTTAAACACCTCTTTTAGACACCCTCCCTCTAACATCACACCACCCCAGAGGGAATGCGGAATCCCACTAAAGAGCAGCTCTCCATGAAGCCCCAGGGAGGGCCTGCTACACAGCGCAGCCAGGCGGGCAGGTGCCTTCAGCTGGACGGGAGGGCAGCATGACAGTGGGGCACAGACTCGCCTCTGCTTGAGAGACCTTGGTTAAAATTCCTGCTTTGTCAGCAGGCTCCTCTGAGTCTCAGCTTCCCCATCTCTAAAACAGGACTAAAATGCCAATTTCATAGGAGTGTTACACGGATTGAACAGGAAAACCTGGCACGGACGGATTACTGTGTGTTTTCTATTCTGCTATAACAAATTACCACAAACGCAGTGGCTTAAACAATATAACTTACTATCTCACAGATCCGGAGGCCGGAAGTCCAAAATGGGTCCCACAGGCTAAAAAACAAGGTACCTTCAGGGCTGCATTCCCTCTGGAGGCTCTAGGGGAAAATCCGCTCGCCTGGCTTTGTAGTGGGTCGAGGCCACCTGCGTGCTTGGCTCATGACCCCTTCCATCTTCAACCAGCAACGTGGAATTACGTCCTCTCACGTTGCACCACTCTGAACTCCTCTCCTGACTCCCTCACCACTTCTTTAAAAAAACAGACCTTAGTCCTGGCCGGTTTTTCTCAGTGGTTAGTATCGGCCCATGGACCGAAGAGCTGCAGGTTTCCCAGCCCCAGTTAGGGGTACAGGTGCATGCAGGAGGGAACCAATCGATGAGTCTCTCACATCGATGTTTCTCTTTCTCTCTCCCCCTCGCTTTAACTCACTCTAGAAATCAATGGAAAAGATATCCTCAGGTGAGGATTAAAACAAACAAAAAACACACTTTAGTTTTTAGAGCAGTTATAGATTCTCAGCAAAACCGAGAGGAAGGTCCAGATATTTCCCACATACCCCTGGCTCCCACCTGACTACATTGGGCCCACCTGGACATTCCAGGACATCCCACCTGAAGGTCTTTTGGCCACGGATGGTGATATAATCACAGGTTTGGGGGAGTATGATGTGAACATGGTTGTGGGAGGTGAGAAGGGGGCATTATTCTGCCTACTACACTGTGCTTTTTCCCCCCTTCTAATTCAACAGGGGACCTCTGAAAATGAGATTATATACTATTTTTTATTTCTTTCTTTACACTTTATTGTATTTTTAAGTGAACTAAGAAATATTATTTAAAATTAATTAAAAGAATACCTTGCCCAGCCAACGTGGCTCAGTGGTTGAGCATCGACCTATGAACCAGGAGGTCATGGTTTGATTCCTGGTCAGGGCACATGCCTGGGTTGTGGGCCTGATCCCCAGTGTGGGGCTTGCAGGAGGCAGCGGATTGATGTTTCTTTCTCATCACTGATGTTTCTATTTCTCTCTCCCGCTCCCTTCCTCTCTGAAATTAATTTTTAAAAAAAGAATACCTTATGAAAACACAAAAAAGCCCTAGCCGGTTTGGCTCAGTGGATAGAGTGTTGGCCTGCAGATCAAAGGGTCCCGGGTTCAATCCCGATCTAGGGCACGTACCTTGGTTGCAGGCTCCTCCGGCCCTGGCTCTGGTCAGAGGCAACCAATCGATGTGTTTCTCTCACATCTATATTTCTCTCTGTGTTTCCCTCTCTCTTCCACCCTTTTTAAAAAAAAACCCAAAAAAACAACAACAACAAAAAAACCCAAAACAATGGAAAAATATCCTCGGATGAGGATTAACAAAAAAACAAAATAAAATTTAAATTTAAAAAATAAAAACGATACAAAAAAACCTTCACACTAAGTCTGGTAATGGTAAGCATTTAATGAGTCGAAGTTCCCTTCCCCAATCTGATCCTGACTTTCAGGAAATCCCTTCTCCTAAGTCAGAATTTTGGGAGACTGAAGGGATAGGGAACTCTGGAACCTTAAGGCTGTTGGTATCAGCTGTCCAAAGACTTGGCTGAAATGTTACTGTGGGGGTTTCATGCATTGGGAGGGAGAATGGATTACACAGGGTTCTCAATTTTGGTTGCAAAATGAAATCATCTGTGGAAGCCACATTAAGTAAATCAGAGTCTCTAGGGATGGGTCCATCATGGTTTCTAAAAGCTTACCCCATAAAAATAAAAAAAGATAAAAAAAAATATCTTCCCCCGTGATTGCAATATGCAGCCACGGCTGTGAACCACTGGGTCACAGTTGTAGACCTTACAAAGAGGAGACCCACAGCAGTCTGCAACAGAGACTTCGCTGTCACAGGGAAATGACCAGGACAGGTAGTTCAAAGTTCTTATGAAAGCTGAATGCTTTCAATTTAAGGTTCATTCTTATTGAGAAATGACAGGTATTTTTTTGTTGCTGGTTGTTGCTTTTGTAAAAAGTCCTCTCTTTTATGAAATGAAAATGAATGGTTGGTAGTTGACTGGTTTTTGTTTTTAAAAATGTTTTTATTGATTTTAAAGAGAGAGAGGCAGAGAGAGAGGAAGAGAGAGAAACTTCGATTGGTTGCCTCCTGCATGCACCCTGACCAGGGATCGAACTGGTCAGGTGACATTTTGGTACACTGGATGATGCTCAACCTACTGAACTACACCAGCTAGAGCTGGTAGTTGACTGTTTTAATGTCATCAGTAAAATAAAAAGTTGGTAACTCTGTCATCAGAGATTTCTGAAATTTTAGTGGTCTTTGAAATCCCACAATTTAGAAACACTGGCCTGGAGGGCTTCTGAGGTCCTCTTTTCTGATCTGAAATTTCCACAATTCTGGGCTTTCACAGCTTACAGGTTAAAGCCTTCCTGAGACCTCTCATCCTCTCTCCCAGAACAGGAAGTCTGGGAAAAGGGATGTGTGCACTGAGAATTATTATTGTTGTTGTTGTTATTATTAAGCAATGTTACAACCTTGAGAAATAATAAACCTATTTATCATTGCTCCACTTCGATATCACTATTTACATTTCAGTGTTTTCTCACCCTCTGGAAATTATTTTGCTGAAAAAATATACATTTTTCCTGAAAGAGAACTCCAGTGGCCTGATAGCCCAGGTGGGTCTTTATTCCATTCCTCCAGCAACTCTGGACTTCAGATCAGGTGACAAGAAGGTGACCTAGTGCACAGAGACTGAGAGAGGCTCACAGGCAGCTCCTGGGTGCAATTATGAAGACCTGCAAACACACATTCCCATGTGCCTGGAGGAAATGTCACCAGCATCCAGCTGGCTTCTGGCCTGCGGTGACCTTTGCAGGACTGGGGAGCTGCTCCTCACTCCTGCTGGCTGACGGGCCAGAGGATTAAAGCTGTATGCCAGAGAAGATGCAGTAGGGACCCAGGGCACAGGACAGCTTGTTCCAGGCACCAGAAGGTGTCAGAGATGTCAGAGATGACCAGGGCCTAGTGAGACGAAAGGGTTCACCCTTCATGAGACTTGCCAGGCCAGACGGAATCAAGTTCCCCACTACATTCACTGGGTTGGCTTATCCAATCTCTGGCTCCACTATTGACAAACTGAAACCTCAGGCAAGTCACTTTCTCTCTCTAAGCCTCAGACATCCAGAAATAAAATTCCAGTCCCATCAGGAGGAGCACAGAGGGGATTTAAGGATTTCAAAGGTCATGGAGTTGTTCCCTTTCTTCCTTCCTTCCTCCCTCCCTCCCTCGTTAGGTCTCACCCAAGGATATTTTCCCATTGATTTTTATAGACAGTGGAAGGGAGAGGGAGAGACCGAGAGAGAAACATCGATGCAAAAGAGCCACATCGATTGGTTGCCTCCTGCACGGGCCCCAACCAGGGCTAAGGCAGGTGCCTTTGACCAGAATTGAACCTGGGACCCTTCAGTCTGCAGGCTGATGCTCTACCCACTGAGCCAAACCAGCAAAGATGTCATTCCCTTTCTTAAACTAGGTGCTAGGTACATGGGAATTTATTGTATTATTATTCTTTTATAATTTATATATATTTTTATCAATAGTATTTTATCTTTATATAATAGTCAATTAAAACAAAATAAAACACAAACCAGCCCTTTGGTAACTGGCTTTTTCAGCTGGACCTCGGCAGGTGCCAAGGGCTCTGCCAGCAGGCTGTTCCCTAACACCACAATTGTGTGTCCTATGACTCATCCTGGCCCCAGGCACCAGAGTCCTGGTATGTCTGGGGCCTACACTCAGGGAAGGGCCCCTGTGCCTCTTCTCCCCGCTGAGCAGGACAGAAAAACAAAAAGGTGAATGTGTTAGCAGGCATGTTAGCACTGGTAACTAACATTTAAACTGAATTCTTAGCCACATTAAAAATCTGAATATATTCAACTTAGGCTTAAAGACTTCTCAAAGCCTCCACTCACAGGTTCTCAGGACCAGGCTGAAGACACTCCTCACTGGGTGTCATGACTCACAGTTGCCATGCCCCAAACAGACACCCCAAGCGTGAGTACTGTGCTGCCGGCACTCGGCACTGAGAGACGGCTGCCAACCCTCTGCAGGGCCCTCAGACAGTTGAAACAGCCCAGCCTGCCAGCAACAGCATCCATTAGACCATCCAGGTTCCCGGAAACTCCATCCTTATTTCTTGTGCCTCATCACCACAGAGGGCATAAAATAGCTTATTTCAAGTTGTGAAGAATATGTTTATTTGAATGACTGAATGACTCTGGCTACCAAGCCTGAAACTTTGATCATGGAACTATGCAGAAGACCTCCTACCCCACATAATTATTACTTCTGATAACTACAGTGCTATTGTTAGTTACACTGTCTCAAACTTAAAACACTTACGATATTCTCCCCATTTGACAGATGGAAAAATGGGAGGCCCAGAAAAATTAAATGATTTGCCTTAAAACACACAGGAAAGCCAGGAATAAGACTCAGCCAGTTTGGGCCAGACTGTGTTCGGCAATACGGGATGAGAGATGTTACCTGAGGGAGAGATGCTCCATGCAGGAGAGATAGCTAGGAAAAAAGTACTCTACTTTCAGGGAAAGAGGTTCGATGTCCCCAAGACCCACTAGGTCACAAACTGGGTGTGTTCACGTGTTTGGTGGCTTCAAGATTTGTCATTAGCTACTCTCTGCCAAGGGGCCCCACTCTGACCCTGAGCCCGCTGGACTGGTGATTCTTATCTGTGCAATGAGGATGTCACAGGCAGAAGATGCCACTTCCTTCTCCCAGTCAGGCAGGACTGGTCATCGCCCTACCAGGCCATCACCTGCAGAGCAGGCCTGCCTGGCCCGCCCACTCAGCTGTTTACCTTGCTCAGAGGCCCACTCTTACAGGTAGGTTTCTTTCTGGCAGCTGGTCAGTTTCACTTCCTGGTTGACTCCCAGACAGCCCCAAAACAACAATAAAAAATCACTTCCTCTGAAGCCTGCCCTTCAGAATTCATTCTTGACACCTTGCTATACACCCACTGTAGGCAAGGAAAGTTCAACAGCTTCCTTTCCATTCTGGTTAGAGAAGCAGGTGGTGTTGGGCCGCTGACACTGCCTCTTTATTAGAGGTCTAAAACCCCCATCCACAAACATTTGCAGAGTTGTGCTGTGCGTCAGGTTTGATCCTAGGTGTTGGGGACACAGAGGCAAGTGAATCATGAGCCTACGGAGCCCACAAACACTGAAAAGAACCCACACAGAGGGCTAAGAGCCCCCGAGGGGAACACTGGGGGCTAAGAAGCACAACTAGATCCCCACTCGGTCACCTTCTGAGCAGGGGATGATCAGAGATTAAAGGGGTTTCACCTGGGCAGGAAATCCAGCATTGCCATCTGTCTTCTATAGACCTTTGGGTGCAGCTCTTAGAAACGGTTCAAAGCCCTAGGTCTAGCATTGCACTAATATGATAGCCTTCACCAGGTATGGCTTCTTAAGGTTAATTTAATCTGAATTAAAAATTCAGTTTCTTAGTCACACTAGTGGCTACTCTATTGGACTGTGCAGACATAGGACACTTTCATCATCACAGAAAGTCCTATTGGACAGTATGCACACAGATCTGGATTCCAATGCTAGCCCTTCCACTAACCAGACATGTGACCTTGAACAAGCGGCTCTACCTTTCTGTACCTCAGTTTTCTCATCTGCAAAATGGGGATACTTTCCTCAAAGGCTGGAATGAAGATAAAATGAGCTCATGCATGTAATACTCTTAGGACCACAATGGCCAGGTACATAGTAAGTACTCAATAAATGGTAGTTATTTTTATTTTCATCATTAGTCCATAGCACCAAGGAGGCAGTTATGTGCCTCATGTCACTGCCTCTCTCCTGGTACTGTTGGCATAGCAGATGCCCATCAAGTGCCCATCAATTCCTTTTTCCCTGGTTGCTTCATCCAAGGCTAGGCTGACACATACCTGCCACCAGGGGATAAGAGGCAGGAATGAATACTCACATCTGTAGAGATGGTTCCAAACGGGGAAGAAGGCCATATAGAGGGCCACATCCCCCACTGTTGGGTAGGACTTGAAGATGGAGATGATGGCAATCTGGATGAACATGAAGAAGATAGGGTGCTCCCTGGGGTAGGGCAGGACAGACATACAGACAGAGATCAGTCAGGCACCAGGCCCACCCCTAAGACTCCTGACTCTATCCCTCAAACCCAAAACTACTCTCCAGGGAACTTCAGGCAAGGGCTGACTCTGCTACCCATAAGACACTGGGCCCAGGTCAAGTAGCAGAGCCGAAAACTGTGTGGCCGGCTGTCGTGGCTCAGTGTTTGAGTGCCGACCTATGACCCAGGTCATGGGTCCATTCCTGGTCAGGGCACATCTCTGGGTTGCAGACTTGATCCCCAGTAGAGGTATGCAGGAAGCAGCCAATCAATGTTTCTCTCTCATCATTGAAGTTTCTATCTCTCCCTCTCTGAAATCAATAAAAATATATTTAAAAACAAACAAACAAAAATCTGTGGGGACCCAGAGATGCCCAAGGTGGTAAGGAGGGCTCAGCAAACACTAGAGAAACAGCGCACAGAGACATTTCCCATCACCCTCCCCACAACCAGCCCCTAGGAGCCACCAAGGAAAAAACAAATGAAGTCAGCCGTTCTTTATTACTGGGCTTAAAAGCCTGCTTGTAACTAGGTAGTCTCCCTGGCCAGAGGCCCCTCTGACAACTGGACGCAGGGCAGGAAGCGCTTCCTTGCTGATGCTTTTCCTCTGACAATTGGGTCAGTGGGGTCTACAGACCCTTAGCTACAATGAACTCTTTTCCAGAAAGAGAACTGAGAGCTGGGCAGCTTTTCAGCTCGTAAGGGCTGGAACTGGAGTTCTTGTTACCTTAAGCCAATAACAAAATGGTTACCATTCCCTGAACCCTTGCTAAGCTCTGTGCTGGACCCTTTTCTTACAGTGTTGCACGTGATCCTCACTACACCTCAACTGCCCCTCGAGGTAGGCAGTGCTGTCACCTGCACTGTGCAGATGAGGAAATCAGGTTTAGGAAAGTCGAGCTAGCTAGTAAGCGAATGAGCTGTTTGTCTTCAGAACACCTAAGCACCACCGATACTGTTCTCCTGAGTGCCTAGCACAGTGACAGCTCTGATCAGGCAGGGCGGGGACAGAGCTCAGTCTCCAGTGTTCCTCCAAGAGCTGACCACATACAAAAGGGAAGCAAACAGAAAGAGGCCAGATCTACACCCTTGTTAGCTGTTTCTAAGCAACATGCACGTGGCCTACATCTGCACAGTTCCTGGATGCCCAACTCATGGAGGTTTTCTTCAGAGGTTAATGGCATTCTTGTCTTGCAGGTCAAAGGTCAGGGTGACTCAATGGATGTAAATCTGACAAACATGAAAATCCAATAAACATGTACACACCCAAACACTCCAATCCGTCTACAGAGCAACTACAGAAACTCAGCTTGGCAAAGTCACGCAACCCTGTAGCTTCTAAGGGTTCAGCTACCTCAATGATCATCTTCCTGAATATAATCCAAATCACTGGCTTTGGCTTTTTAGGTAGCTGGTAACAGCTGCAACATTTCTTTGAAAAGACCAGTAAAAATGTAGTGCCAACAAGGATGGAGACCAGAACCTCCTGTGACACTGCCTAGAGACAGGTGGCCTGCAGGGCCCTGTTCCCACACTGGAAGCAGACACTGCAGGGAGCTTCATATCCGGGCACAGGAGGGCAGCAGTGGGGGAGGTCAGGTATCTTCATATGCTTTGTCCCCACACTTCTGAGCCTGGTGGTGGTGGTGTTTCACATAATGGTGGTGCTGTTGTCTAACTAGGAACTATCTGTGGCCTTTCCCCTGTTGACCTAACACATCTTGAGTCCCCTTGGGCGAACTGTCACTGGGCTGCTGAAACAGGACACCCAATAAAATTCACTTTTTCCAAAGACAATCTGCAACTCCAACCTCTGCTGTTATCCAAAACAGTGAGTGGACTCAGCAGCAGTGTGGGCGCAAGTGCCCCAGAGTGAGGCCAGGAGAAATATTAGGGTGCTCCCTGCAGCCTGCATTCATGTGTGACTCTATTGTTGGCTATGGCCACTGACACCCAGGGCGATTGAGGGCAGGGTTCCCTGGGCAAAGATGGCAGAAACCTAATAGCAGATGCTCCCAATCTGAAAGGCACCTGCAAGGCTACAAATGGTTCTCTGAACAAAGAAGGAGCAGGTCCAACCACTTACTTCAGCTTAATGGCTAAGGGGATGGTGTAGAAGAAGACGTTGATCTGAAACACACACACGAAGAAGAGGCTGAAGTGCTCAAACATCTCTGCAAAGAAGTACCAAAAAAGACCAATGTTTGGAGTGAGATCTGGAACAGAAAGTCTGGAGTGAAGAAAACAAAGGGAGAGAAAAAAGAGAGCAAAGTTATAAATGGTCTGCTTTAACCTGGTTTTCTCCTGAAGACGCTGATCACTACTAGGCTGTGAAGAGTGACTTTGTCTCCACAGAGGTCAGGCTGTGAGGGGCTCTATAGGCACCCTGGATGTAGGTAATTAACAAAAACAAGGGGCCGAGAATGACAACCTATAATAAATATTAGCTGAGCCAAACTCTGGCATGTATCAAATATCTGAAATGAGGCAGGGATTTATGCTAGAAATAAAAAGACCAGCTCCTATTGTACTGCCAAGACATATATGTTTAAAATTAGGAGATACTCAGTACTATAACAAAAGAGGAATGGGTTCTACATGAACAGGATCTATCTGGGGCATTCCAAAGACTTGCCTAGAGGAACAAGCTCAAAGACTCTGCTCCTCCCCACTCCTGCTCAGCATCCCAGAGCAGGAGCCACTGCAGTGAGACTTCTAGGGGCTGAGGAATCATCAGCAGATTCTGGCGAGGATACCAGACACCATTTGAGAAGTACGGGTTTAACTGGAAAACTTTTTGTTGAGTTGTATCAGATAAAAATTGGCTGCAATTCTGGCTCTTCTAAAAATTTACATTATATTTTTTATTTGAAAAAATATGGAGTGGAAACATGTCATTCACAATTTTAAAAGGGGAACATATGGAGCATGAAGAACAAATAGGGAAGGACTCGTGGTCAGATTTCACTAACACAGCTTCCCCCAGGGCAAGGCCTTGCCTTCTGCTGTAACTATATTTCCTCATCTGTGAAATGAGGTACAGAACACAGTCTGTGGCCAGCAGAAAACCAGGAAAGGCTTTTCACTCCTATCCAAGGCGTTACAAATTCCTACTCAAGGCAGAGCATGAAGAGCTGAAAGTTACTAAGATATTGTTATATTCAGCCAGGATTTAACACAAATTAGCAGCCCAGAATCCCCAAGGGGAGTCTGCCACTCCAGATCCCTTCCCACCCTGGTTTAAGTGTCTACCACCCCACTGGGCTGTGAGCTCCTTGAAGCTTGGGCAGTGGCGACCTGCTTTAGTATACCATACAGAGAGTGTTTGGAAATGTCTGCAGAATTCTTACTGCAAACCCATTTTGATTTTTTCTAAAAAGGTTGACACGTGGGAGGTGGCTTTATTTTAAAGAGACCCTCTTGCAGCAAAGGAATACATCCATTCCTCTTTGGGACTGAACCAAAACCTTCTAGGCAGAGGCTGGCAGTCGCTTTGGATGTTCCTAGAGAACGCACTAGATCAAATATATGCCCTAGACCAGTGGTTCTCAAAGGGCGTTTCCTGGACCAGCAGATCAGCATCACCTGAAAACTTATTAGAAATGCAAATTCTTGGTCCCTACCTCAGACTTACTAAAAACCTCTAGAAGTGGGGCCTGGCAATGGGGGTGTTAGCAAGCCCTGAAGGTAATTCTGATTCACACTAAAGTTGAAGACCACGGTGTCTAAATGCTCCCTGTGGTTGCTAGCACTCTGATTCCAGCTGGAGTTGTGAAAACCAAATTAGCTTCCAGAGTTTTCTAATGAGGTCATTACTTACATGAAGCCGTAGACTGCAGGGATGAAATCCCAGGAGCTGAGAAGGAAGAAGGAGAGGCAAATGATTACCACTAGGCTTCCCATGTACATCATGGCATACTCCCAAGAGAAGATCCAGAAGGCTTTGCTCTTTACTTTCACAGGGATGTACTGCCGCTAGGAGAAAAGGCAAAATGGTACATTTAGGGAGGACAATAATAGAGGGCAGTTATCATTTTAAACTTCAAGATCTGTCCTGCAAAATGCAGGAAATAAAAAGGTTGAAAATCAAAGGATTGAAAATATATACTAGGTAAACACTAACTAAAAGAAAATTAGTTTGGTTATACTGTTACCAGATAATAAACTTTAATGTAAAAAGTATTACAGAGATAAGGATGCTCCATAATCATAAAAAGTGCTAGTCATCAGAAAGATTTAACATTTCTAAATTTGTATATAGCTAATAACACAGTCTCAAAATATATAAAACAGACATGGACAGAGCTACAAAGGAAAAACAGACAAATTAATCATCCGTGTATAACTGAATAGATCAAACAGACAAAAAACAGTAACCAAGTGGCACATGTGAATAGCATATTTAATAAATTTGGTCTCATGAGAGCTTATAAAATATAGCACTCCCAGGTAGCTGACTGATGTTTGTTTCTCATCATTGATGTTTCTATTGCTCTTTCCCTCTCCTTTTCTCTCTGAAATTAATAAAAATATATTTTTCCCTAAGAACAGGATCAAGACAGGGATGTCCCCTTTCACCACTTTTTTTTTTCCCTTTCACTACTCTTATTCAATAAAAAAATATTTTTAAAAAATGATGAGAGAGAATCATTGATCACCTGCTTCCTGCATGCCTCCACGAGGGATCGAGCCCACAACCCAGGCATGTGCCCTGAGCGGAAATTGAACCGTGATCTCCTGGTTCATACGTCAACATTCAACCTCTGAGCTACACCATTGGGCTGGGGACATTTATTTATTTAGTTTTAAAAAAATCTATACTGTTGAGAGTACTTACAGAGTTCCCCTTTCCCTCTTCCCCAATGTCCCCCTCTACCCAGTTCCCACCCCAGGCCTTCACCACCCTATTGTCTGTGTCTACAGGTTCTTTAGTTAATCTCTTCCCACAATCCCCCCCCCCCCCCGAGATTCGCCATTCTGTTCAATGTTTCCATGCCTCTAGTTCTATTTTATTCATCAACTAGAGGCCCGGTACATGATATTCATGCACTGGCAGGGGGTGGGGGTGTCCCTCAGCCCAGCCTGCATCCTCTCGCAGTCTGGGACCCCTCGGGGAATGTCCGCCTGATAAAGAGCAGGCCCAGCCAGTTTCACAGGAAAGTTCTATCAACATACAAGGAACAGATGACTGTAATATTAAATTAACTCATTCATAGCAAATAATATAAGCTTGATACCAAAATCACTTAACCAATACAAATGCAAAAGTGCTAAATGAAATATTATGTAATATAATTCAGCAACACATGAAAAAGATCATGATAAAGTTCTGTTATAACTAGGTTAAGTTTTTTCCAAAAATTCAAGGTTAGTTCAACATAAGAAAGCTGTTAATATATATATCTCACAAACAGCTTCAAGAAATCATATTAGTATCTAGATATATGCAACAACTATTTATGATGAAAATAACAACAACAAAATTCAGTGAAGTGGCAGGGTAAAAAATTAACACAGAAATAGCTTTCAAATGCACAAATAATAAAAAATTAGAGGACACAATGGTAGATGAAACCACATTTATAATAACACCAAAGAAAATAAAACTCAGATTTAAATTTAACAGGAAATGTGCAAAACCTACTCAAGGAAAATTTTAAAGCAATCATGAAAGACACTAAAATCAACTTGAACCAATGGACAGATATCTCCCGTTCTTGTTTAGAATGATTCAACATTATAAATATGTCAGTTCTCCTTAAACAGATTTATAAATTAAATTCAATAATGCAATCCCAATAAAAATGTCAAATAGCTACTTTATGGAATTATACAAAACAATGTAAAGGTCGTATGGAAAAACAAACATGCAAGAATAGCTAGGAAAACAAGTGATAAGGAAAAATCATGAAGTGTTGACTAGCCCTATCAGACATTAAAATACACTATAAACCTCTATAATTAAAACAGTGTAATACTGGCACATATACAGTATAGACAAACAGACCAGTGGAATAGAACAAAAAGTCCAGCATTATACCAAAATACTTATTTTTTAATAAATGGTGCCAGGACAATTTAGGTAGCCATTTGGAAAAAGATAAAATCAGACCTATATCTCACACCATTGTTGTAGTAAACTCCAAGTCAATTAGGGGTGTAAATATTTTTTTTAATGAAAGCATGAAATGTTAGAAAAAGCATGGTAAAATTGTCTTTAACTACGATGTAGGGGAAAGCTAAAATACCCAGAGGCAATAAAAGACTGATTAAATTTGGTTACATTACAATGAAAAGTTCTGTGCAACAAAATCACTATAAATAAAATGAGAATATATGTCCACACAAAAACTTATACATGAATGTTCATAGCAGCATTATTCATAATAGCCTAAAAGTAAAAACAATCCAAATGTCTATCAACTGAATGAACGAATAAAATATAGCATACTATAAGAATACTATACTAATGGAATAGTGTTTGGCAATAAAAAGGAATGAAGTACTAATAATACACACTACAACAGAAATGAACCTTAAAAACCTCATGCTAAATGAAAGAAAAGCCCACATATTGCATGATTCCATTTATATGAAACTAGAGGCCTGGTGCACGAAATTCATGCAGGGGAGGGGGGTTGTCCCTCAGCTTAGCCTACACCCTCTCCAATCTGGGACCCCTTGGGGGATGTCCGACTGCCAGCAGTCCGGGACTGCTGGCTCCTAACCGCTCGCCTGCCTGCCAGCCTGATCGCCCCCTAACCGCTCCCCTGTCGACCTGATTGCCCCCAACTGCCCTCCCCTGCCGGCCCAATACATAAACAAAGTCAAAAGATAACTGAAAAACTAGAAGAAAATATTTGCAAAGGTTTAATACTTTTAATACATAAAGTGTACAGTTTCTTTCAGGATTGTGTCTTTTAATACATAAAGTGTATAGTGTCTTTCAGGATTGCTCCTCTGTCGACCTGATTGCCCCCAACTGCCCTCCCCTACCGACCTGATCACCCCCAACTGCCCTCCCCTGCTGGCCTGATCGCTCCCAACTGCCCTCCCCTGCTGGCCTGATTGCCCCCAACTGCCCTCCCCTGCTGGCCTGATCGCCCACAACTGTCCTCCCCTGCCGCGACCCACCTCCTCTGCCGGGACCTGCCTCCTCTGTGCTGCACGGAGCTGTGGGACTCCCAGGTCTTACCATGTGGGAGCAGCCGCCAGGCCCTGCCTCCGCTGTGCGTGTGGCCATCTTTGTGGTGGCCATCTTGTGATGACGTTGCGCGAGGGCACAAGGACCACCTAGGCTTTTATTAGTATAAATGTGCAGGATAGAGGGCTGGAGGTTAGAGGGCACTGGCAGAAAACAGAGTGACTGCTAATGGATATGGGGCTCCTTTTTGGGTGATAAAAAATTAGAATTGATTGTGGTTATGGCTGCACAACTCTGTGAATACACTAAAAACAATTAAACTGTACAGTTTTTTTAAAATATATTTTATTGATTTTTTTACAGAGAGGAAGGGAGAGGGATAGAGAGTTAGAAACATCGATGAGAGAGAAGCATCAGTCAGCTGCCTCCTGCATGCCCCCCCCCCCCCCCCGCCACTGGGGATGTGCCCGCAACCAAGGTACATGCCCTTGACCGGAATTGAACCTGGGACCCCCGAGTCTGCAGGCTGACGCTCTATCCACTGAGCCAAACCAGTCAGGGCAGATAAAGTATATCTTGATAAATAATAAAAGCTGTTAAAGGAAAAAAAGAACTATAAACAAAGTCAAAAGACAACTGAAAAACTAGAAGAAAATATTTGCAAAGGTTTAATACTTTTAATACATAAAGGATTCTTAAAAATTTAGAGAAAAAGTATCTAAATCCAACAGAAAATGAGGAGGGGGGAGGAATAAACAGACAATGCACAAATATGAAGAAAATGTTCAAACTCACTTATATTTAGAGAAATGCAAATTAAGACAACACTGAGACATCATTTCTCATGATTAGACTGGCAAAATTTTTAAATGTAACAACACATCTTGTTAGTGAACCTGTGGGAAAACAGGTTCTCTCCTACTTTACTGGTGGGAATAGAAAATTTGTATATGCTTTCTGGAGGGAAATGGAAAAGAACTGACAAAACTACACATGCACTTATCTTTGGATCCAGTAATTTGCTTCTAGAAATCTACCTGGAATTCAAAAATATACCTCCAATAATACAAGAGTACACATACACAAGGTTACTCATGGAAGCATTAATTTAAGTGCAAAATTCTGGAAACAATCTAAATTCCCACATACTGGAGAGAAGTTAACACATAATGAAGTACTACGCAGCTGTACAAAAAAAAAAAAAAAAAAAGAATAAGGAATATCTCTCTGTTTCAATAATTTCCAAGAAATAATGTTAAGTGGAAAAAGCAGAACACAAAAAGAGTATCTAGTACAAGAAAGAAGGGGAGGATGTAAGAAAATATACATGTGCCCTGGCCGGTGTGACTCAGTGGACTGGAAGGTCATGGGTTTGATTCCAGTCAGGGCACATACTTGGGTTGCAGGTTTGATCCCTGGTCAAGGCATCTATGGGATGTTTCTCTCTCTCTCTCTCTCTCTCTCTCTCTCTCTCTCTCTCTCTCTCTCTCTCTCTCTCTCTCTCCCTCTCCCTCTCTCTCTCTCTCTCCCCCCTTCCTCCCTATCTAAAAAAAAAAAATTTTTTAAATAAATAAATAAAATAAAAAATACATGGATCTATTCATTTGTGCAAAAGCAATGCAGGATAAACCGAAAACTAAAGAAAATAATTACTTAGGATGACAGGAAAGGTAGAAAGCAAAGACCAAGATAGCAGGGATGAGCCCTAGCTGGTTTGGCTCAGTGGATAGAGCATCGGCCTATGGACTGAAAAGTCCCGGGTTTGATTCCAATCAAGGGCACATACCTGGGTTGTGGGCTTGATCCCCAGTAGGGGGCATGCAGAAGGCAG